GTTCATTGTAATATTATTGTATTTCATTGTTTTATGAATTTTTTAGTTATTCTTTATATACTGTAGCTATGGTTTATTGGTTTATGTCTTTTGATGTCTTTGTACATGCATACTGGTATTTGGTTTAAGTTTTAGTTTGTATAAGTGGTAATTTAATGCTAAAGTTGGATCAAATATTTATTTACAGGCAAGACTAGAAACTTGAATTAGCCATTTGGTTGTACATGAAATGTCAGAATTTTTAGGTTTCGAGTTGTCCTGTGGTCATGAAAAGACATGAAATTTATAACAAAATGTTTAAATATAAACACTTGGAGTAAAAAGATTTTGTGGTGCAATGTTTATTACAAATGTTGTAAATTTTATTTATGTTTGTGTTTTATTGGTAGGTTATTCGGCGAACTGCCAATTTTGATATAGATATGGTGAAGGTCGAGGAGTTCATAAGACCATCTGTTGCGAGCCTAGCAGTGGCAGCAACAAGCCCAAAGAGTCAACGTCTTACCGTCAGAGGGACAGTGTCAGAGGTATTTATTTAGAGATGTTATATTTATCAAAGGGACATTTTAAGTTCTTTTTATAAAGTTACATGCAGGTTGTTGGCTGACTATCTCCCTTTTGCCTACCGGGAGACAGAAATCAGAGTATGGTTGTGGCCTACAAATCTCTGGTTTAGTGTTTAATTTTTATCTGTAACTTTTGTTGTTGTTTTGTTTAGGTTTGACAAAATTGTTTCATAATGTGTTATATTTGTAGGTGTTGTAGTTGTCTATGGATTACCTGTATTGATATTTGTTCTCTACATTCATATAGATTGGAGCCTTGGTGTCCACTGCAACATACACAAGACGGCATCTCGTCCTGACTGACAATAATTTGGAGGGGCAAGTTGGGGTGACAATGTGGGGGAACCCTGCGCGGGTGATTGCCGCTTCGGTAAACGACACAGTTCTCGTCACGGCAGTAGAGGTGAACGCAGCAAGGGAGCTGAATACTACCAAGCTGTCGTGTGTGGAGGTTTGTATTGTCTCTTCTATTTTTGGGGGATGCACTTTATAAAGGAATTGGAAGTTAAATAGATTACATCACCACTCTATACAAGCCTGTCTAAGACTAGATCAATTGCCCAGGGCTTTCGTAATCCTGCCAATCTGCAGTGGAAAGGTGAGCGATATAATTTGTAATATAATGGTAATGTCACAAGCTAGTCTATGACTATAAATTGGCTTATCACTGTTTGTGGCTTTTGTAAATCTGCAACATTTCTGCAGTTAAAAGATGGACAGTACACTTGTGTGATTGTGTTTTATTTTGAATTGATTTGGTCGATCCAGTTCAAATCAATTGATTCATATATATATTATGAATCAATTGATTTGAACTGGATCGACCAAATCAATTGATTCATAATATATATATATATGCAATATTTTTCCCGTAACATGAGAGTAATTTTAATAGTTTCATACTATTAATTAAATGTAATGTTAACTGTTATTGTATAATTGTTTTAAATGGGGGCACGTTACAAGAGTCCTATCTCGCACCCCGGGGCAACGTGTCTGACACGGCCGGTTGTAGCAACTACTCCGAAGATCAAGATTACATTAATCTTGATCTAAGGAGACACGAACGAACGATTTTGAATCTATTATTCTTTCGTGTTTCATATTTGTATTTTGTAGTTAAAGTTTGTTTAAAATTGAGTGAAAAGTTTGGAGATAATAAATACACTCATATGACTCTGGAATTACATGTCTTTTCTAGATGCTTCATTTTATGTACCTCTTCTACTGCCAATAGATCATAAACTGATCCCAACACAACACAAGGATTGGCACATGCCAATACTCCATTAATGACGGTCTAAAGCAGATTGAAAAGTACATAGACAGAGGTAGAAAGGATTCTTAAAGAGTTGAGACAGAAGAACACTTCGCTGGCCAAGACAGACTGGACTCTGTTGCGAGACAAAGAGGGTATGATGGTGGAAGCAGAGTCTCTGAAAAAGAAGTTGGATGAAACTGAGCATTAGTTAGAAAGCTTGCAGCAGAGCTTTTCTGCCGTATTTCCCGATAACTCTGATTTGGAAGATGTTGATCTTTTTAAATCAACCGGGGAAGCAGACCGGGGAGCAGACTTGGGACCACCTCAGGGACCAGATCAGGACGAGCTGAAGGACAAGTACCTGGGGCAGAGGAGGTGGATGCAGAACTGGGCTCTTGCGCGATACAAAGAGTCTCTGAAAAAAAAAATGGACGAAACCGAACATGATTTAGATTTAGCTCGCAGCAGAGCTTTTCTGCCCTTATCCTGATGACTCTGAGTTAGAAGACCTAGATACTTTTTTACCAACTGAGGAAGTCTTTGTGGAGAGCAGACGTGGGTTTTGAATGGTACTGGCTCCTTTATTTTAGGTTAAGGAAAAACTAATTTCTCATGCTTTACGTTTTACTTTTGTATTTATAATTCGGCTAGGCCAACAGTTACCTCTCATATACTTTTATGAAAGAGAAGAGTACTGTAGAGTGATGATCAATGAGCGTAAGTATTTATTCTCTGTCTGATGCATTCCTTCTGTCATCACCTGCAAGATACAAACCAACGGTTTGAAAGGCTGCCTTGCCCTGCTATAGAGTACCGAAGCTGTGATGTCACAAAAATCTATTTTTAGAATTTCTCAATTTTTTTTCATATTCCGAAAGAACATCAAAAATAATGTCCAAATGTCGAAAACCAATTGAATATATGTTAAGTATTGGCTGAGATATGACCATCTGAATAAATATACTCCCCATAGGAACTTGTTATATGCTCTTGCTCCTAATGGTTAGGAGCCAGAGCATATAACACTGAGTTCCCATAGGACATATATTCATTCGGATGGTCATATCTCAGCCAATACTTAACATATTCAATTGGTTTTCAACATTTGCACATTATTTTTGATGTTCTTTCGGAATATGAAAAAAAATTGAGAAATTCTAAAAATAGATTTTTGATGACGTCACACTTCACCACTCTATAACCAGCCCTAGATCCTTCTTTGTTAGAAGTGCTTGCGATACAACCCGCCGCTGTTGAGATCAGGAAAGGCAAGTTCAGTAAAGTCAATGTGACGGTGACAAACAGTTCTAAGAGAAATAATTTTCTTCCAACGCAAACTGTGATTGCCTCTATAGAGTCCATATCTGATGTTAAATCATTTCTTCATGAAGAACCTGTAACGGTCAGCTAAGTAAAGACTATCCAGCTCTCGAAGGACGACTGGAGCTCAAACTTCAAGCTGGACCACCTATCTATCATCCAAAGAGCTACTGTACTGGAACTGCTGAGAGGAGAAAAGAATGCATTTTCTACAGGAGATGAAGATATTGGACTGATCGACGACCTTCACATGAAGATTAACCTCTCCGACCGTGTACCAGTGCAGAAGACGTATATGCCTATCCCAAGCACCCTCATTCATGAAGTGAGACACTATTATCCAGGATCTGTTGAGGAAAGAGTGGATACGGAAGTCACCGTCCCCGTACTCTTCTCCAGTGGTGTGTGTGAGAAAAAAGATGGAACTCTCCGACTGTGTATGGACTATCGAGCCCTTATTGCGAAGAAAATCTCGGACAGACAGCCTGTTTAAACCTATGGGGAATATGGCTATTCACTAATCAACAGGTTAACATTCCCCTTGAGGATACCGTTTATGTTGAGTTGGATAAAGTAAATGGTAAAAGACTTGCGCTGTAAAGTATGGGGCACAATGCATGCAAATGGACAGGTACACCTTAAGAGATCATCCAAGTGGTTTCATAAAATTCAGTTTCAACTGAGAATCACCGAACTTGATAAATGTGATTTGGTAATTTTTTTGACAAAATGTGGCAACAAAATCAATAACATTCCCTTCGAGGACACAATACATGGAAATGAAGAGGTACAAGTGAAGAGATGACCAAAGTTGTTTGGCCAAGTTCAGTTTCAACTGAGAATCAACAAACTTGATAGTTGTGATGTGGTTATTTTGACAAAGTGTGGCATCAAAATCATTAACCCAATGTATACTCGAACTGACTGGTGATTCCTGTTTTAAACCTATGGGGAATATGAATATCCACTAATTAACAGGTTAACATTCCCCTAGAGGACATGCCGAGTTGGATAAAATAAATGGTAAATGACTTTTGCTGTAAACTATGGGGCAAAATGCATGCAAATAAAGAGATACAGCTGAAGAGATCATGCAAGTGGTATTATCAAGTTTAGTTTCAAATGGAAATCACCAGAATTGATAATCCTGACTTGGTTATTTTGACAAAATGTGTCAATCTAATTCATTAACATTGGCAGTGACTATAGAATTGAAGGCCATTACTAGCAAACCAAGGCCAACCTGATCATCTATCATAGCTCTATACAGGGCTCCAAACTGACTTTTTTGGAAGAGGATCTGGATTCAAATTGTTAGAGTCAATATGTATGAGCCCTATGTAAATATCTTGAAATTAGTGGTGTCTGGACTTGGACCCATGTGTCCCCAAGCACCTGCTAGTCTCTAGATGTGCTTTAGAAGATAATTATAACCTTATTCTGTGTTTTTAGGCCTATTGCTACATATATACATGAACATGTGGTTATTGGGGGGGGGGGGGGGGGTTAAAAGCTACTACTCTTAATACAATTTCCCGTTTAAATTGTTATATTCCTATCAAAGAGAATGACACAATATCAGCTATTACATTTGTTCACTTCAAAGAAATTTATATTTCAATGATTTAAGAACAGATATCCCATTGAATGTATGTTATGAAATCTAAGGCACCAGGACTGTAGTTATTTTACAACTATGCTCATTAAAATAACACCAAAATATACAAAATTTCTTGATTTTGTTTTCTTACAAAAAGACTACCGGTAGCGAAAAAATCACATCGTAGTGCATACATTAGCTTTTTCATTAGCTTTTTAAATTTTAAATTGGCAAAAGCTGCCCTTCCATGGAAAAAATCAGACACAGTATCAAGGGAGATTTCTCTGATGAACTTTGAGACAATAACGGTTGTCAAAGTATATTATATATCATACTACATGTATTGCAATTCAGGTGCAATAAATAAATAAATAAATAATACAGCTAATTAGGACATGTACATTAGGTAGAAGCCTGAACATAATTGAGATGCTTTGCAAATCTGCCAACATTAGAAAACGACAACTTTAGGTCCAGTCTTCTTAGCTTTAACCTTTGGTTTTGACATGAACGCTGGCTCTGCATCGGCACTTGTATAGACTCCTGTGACAGCCAGGCTTGCTTCTGAAACATCAACTCCTGGTAGAAGGAAAGACAGACATACAAATGATTGTCAACCACATACCCTGATTAAAATGTGATGCAGTCATAATATTTGATTTTAATTTAACCCTATATAGCCTGGAGGGGGGGGGGGGTTTAAGGTCCTCCCTCCCTAAGATCTTGGCCATGAAATGACCGATTGCTGCGAAAACTTGCATGCATGTCAAGTGAAGTGTATAGAACACTACAGTAATTTATGCAATTAAGGTCATAAAATTCACATTTTTACCCATAAATTCTATATTTTAACATTCATTTTCACTACAAATATTCTTTAGACCATTTGGAATAATAATACAACAAACAACTTTGGAAGAACCAAGTTATTCCTTACGTTATCTATTATTTTGAGAATTTCTTATGTATTTCTTTGTTTTTTAACTTATGTATTTTTTTTTTTTTTTTTTAATATAATTTTTAACTATAATTCAACTATATTGACCCCCAAAACACTTAAACTTTAACCCAGGTGAAATAACCAAATATCTGAACTTGGTAGAGATGTTTCATTTTCATTGAACACATACATATCTTTTCACTCATTCTCTCTGCCTAGTATGCAATGGATGAATGGATAACAAATTATTTTGATGTCTCTGAAATGATAACCCAAATCACAAGATATATTCCAGTCAAACTGTTTCATAAAACAAGTCAAACATTCTATGATCAAATCGAGGGTTCAGTGACACAAAGATGTAACTCCATATTTTGCCAAAATGAGTATTTGATATCAAAATGTTCAGAAAAATGTGGGCTTCCCAGGAAACACAAAGACTTAACTCCACCCAACACCTCATTGAAGTCAATGGCTAGTGAATACTTATCTGTAAAGCGCTTTGAGAGGGCCTCCGGTCCCGAAAAGCACTAAATAAGAACGTGCTATTATTATTATTATTATCATAGACTTAACTCCTTAAGGCCCAAGTGCTCAGTGACATAAACCACTTTTTCTCAAAATGGCCAAAATGGAGTTACGTCTTTGTGTCACTGACCCCTCAAAATGTTACTTGACTGACCTTTGACTGGCTGCCTGACTGGACAGTTCCACCACTTGTGCTCCACCGATCCACACTCCTTGCACCCTCCCCCTGATGGGTAGAGACCTCTGGGGTTGTCTGGACACATTCTGGACAAGTGGCCCGTCTGTCCACAGATGAAACACTTGGCATACGGGAAGTCACCTGAAATGCAATTACAAATCTTATGTTCAGAAGTCTGTCGAAACAAAATAAATGGTTTCCAATGCTACATTGAAACACTTGGCATATGGGAAGTCACCTGAAATGGGATTACAAAAATTAAATTTTCAGAAGTCTGTACGAAACAAAAACACTTTCCTGCGTTTCCACATCACGTGTATATAAGCCATAAACATGCATTAAGTCAACATCAAAATTCAGCTGGAAAAAAAAGGGTTATGTACATGAACATCCGACACCTACTGTAGGGTTAGAGTTAGATTTTGGGTTAAGATTAGGATTAGTGTTACCTACTGTACACATGTCAGTCAAAAGTATTTAGATTAAGCTTCATTGGTAAAGCATTGGTTCACCAACGAAAGTCTAGTCAATTTTTGTGGTGGGGTATTCTAAAGTTGCTCCAAAACTGAATAAAATAAACCTGTACTCAAACTCACCTAGTTTTTTATCCACCTTGGCATTGCACTTGCTGACATCGTGCTCTGTCGAGCCACAGCGATAGCAGATGCCAGTACCTTGTTCAACGTCCCCTAACATCTGCGGACAATCAGCAACACCATGGCCTGGTTGGCGACAGTGGAAACACATCTTGAGAGTAAAGGGTGAAAAAAATATATACTTAAAGATAAAGTTGAGTTCTGGCCATGCGATTGCATTGTGAAAGAAACGGTGTGGAATCGACCAGAAAAGGTTGATCATCTAGCATATAAGTATTTGTGTGTATTGCAAGGTTCTGGAATCATTAAAATGATATGAAATTTGGCCAAGTCTTGGTAAAGTTACAAGCACTGTACACAGGAAGATGTATATGGGACTACACGAACATGTGGCGTAAAAATCAGTCCCGATTTGTAAGATGTTACATGCCATATCTAGAATATGAAGGCATTTGAAGAGCCATGCTTTTCAGGGAACATGTTTTATCTGATTTTCTTCCACATTTGCATAATAACAATGATAACGCTGACAAATTATTTTTCACCTCTCCCCAGAACTCAACCTTCTCTTTAAAACTCTGTATTCAACATGGATCAAACCCTGTACTGCCGCACTGTTTTGAATACATTTACATCATATACAGTACGTACACTCTACGTGTGAGGAAAGTCCACCGCAAAAGTCCTGTTTATGCTGACCATAGTTGGTAGAGTGTAAAACCATGGAATGGAAATGATTCACTCACAAAGTGGGCAATTGCATTCTGTTCATTTTGGCGACTGGCTTAAAATCTGACAGAATCGTGAGGTATAATTTGGGGTGCTAAATATTCTCGACATCAAGGTATGATCAGGACTTTCAATTTCACTTGCCTAAGAGTAAGTGCATGGCTAAAAAAATACTAACCAGTAACTTGTATGTATTTGTACTTAGAACGAGAATGACACTGTACCTTCAATACCAGGTTAAGAATTTTGAAAAAGTTTCAGCTACAAGCCTAGCAATGGCATAACAGTCACTGAAATGCTACAAGCATATATCCGCAAAAGTGCCAAACTGTTTACTCTAGAGAAATGAAAGCTGCAAGTACTGAAATTTGCTGTAGTCTTCATACAACCTCACCATATTGTCTGCTTTCTTCTTCTGCCTATTTAATCGTCTCTCTTCGCTCCTCTGCTCCTTCTTTGCTGCAAGTTCTGGAGTATCCATGCTTCGATGCTTCACGTCTCCCACCGACTTATTTCCCTCATCCTTTACCTCACAATCTCTCGCTTTATCTGCCTCCAATAAGACATCGATGATTGATTTACCGCTACTTGACGACACTGGTCTTGACTTCCTGACAGCATCTTTCATTTCGCCACTGGCTTTTTTATGAAATCCACTTTGGCTTCTCTGACCAACATGTTTATTATCAACACGCATACTGCTATTACCAGTACCTGGCCTCTTCAATGTACTTTGGGGCTTCTGGATGGAATGAGTAGGGTCTTGTTTAGTTCTTGTACTGGAGTCGTCCTTGCCTGATTGCTTCTTTTGATCTTGGGTCATCTGTTCCCATGTTGATGCATCAAGGGGTTTCTTTTTGTTGGCGTTTGCTCCTCTCGCGAAGCGAGTCATGTTGATATCAGCATTCAGTAGTGTTAGCAAATTTGCACTCAGCTGTTGATAAAATAATAACAAAGACAATGTGAACAGAGAAGTCTTCAAAACAAAGAAACAGAATCTTTTAAAGATTTTTTCAGCATCCTTAAAAGGTCAAGTACTTTACTTTAGTTTAAGAATTCCTCATTTTCGTCAAAATTCTCATTTTGGCAAGTTGTACAGAAATGTTTGTTGATTTTTCAATTTTATGTGTGTACCTATGTCAAGTGAGCGTCAGTTATGTGCGAAGTGCGTCACCTGTTTGAAGCATGACATGTCAGTATGTTATGTATTGTAATATTACATATTGGCATTGCGCTCTCTGCTTAATGGAGCCCTCTCTCACTTAAATTATCTCACTGTACACAGTAGGGGTGCTGGTCTGAGAATGAGGATCATCCACATAAACGAGGATATCCTCATAAACGGGGACAAATTACGTCCTAAAAAATAAGGATCCTTCACATTTTTGCTGACGTTATTTTCCATTGGCGCTCTGCGGGTGACACACAAAACGGTGTAGAATTCAACTTTTCATCCACCAAATGAATTCAAACACTTGCATTATACAATCTTCAATACCTGTATCACCGTTATTGCAAATAATAAAATCACAATCTATATCTATGGCTAATATATGAAGACTAACAATATGATAGGGTATTCTGCAATTAAGCCAAAGTTTTTGTACCACTGCCAAATGTGGTACAAATTGGTGGCATTCTCCCCCCTAGACCGAATTTTCCGTCTCTTTCGTTCGTTAGCCTCTTATTGGGGTAGGGTCGGCTCTCTCTTTAGAGACGGAAACCGTCTACACACATTCCCTTGATAACGCCACGGCCATTTCAGGTCGTAGCGTTTTGCCCCCAAAATCCCCCAAAATGTCATTTTACCTCGTGCATATCCACATGTAAATTAGGCCTAGGCTATAATAAATCAGTTCCACTTACCAACTTGACTGAAATAATCAGTTTAATAGTCCCTTTTTAGGAAATTATGGGTCAAAATCGAAATCCATTTTGAAAATCTTTTTCAACATGGATTTCGATTTTGACCCATAAATTCCTAAAAAGGAACTATTAAACTGATTATTTCAGTCAAGTTGGTAAGTGGAACTGATTTATTATAGCCTAGGCCTAATTTACAATATAAAATGCACGAGGTAAAATGACATTTGGGATTTTGGGGGCAAAACGCTACGACCTGAAATGGCCGTGGCGTTATCAAGGGAATGTGTATAGACGGTTTCCGTCTCTAAAGAGAGAGCCGTCCGACCCTACCCCAATAAGAGGCTAACGAACGAAAGAGACGGAAAATTCGGTCTATCTCCCCCCCTGCCCCCATTGTGCCATTACCATTGTGCTCATTACCATTGTAGGGGTACGGTCTGTGTATATGGGGAAGGTTGACAAATGTCAGTTTTATTAAAGATTAACCCATATCAGATGTTTATCTTTCTAACCTGGGCTAGGCTGTGGCCTTATCGAGCTCTAGCTATGCGCTAGGGCGAGTTCTAGCCCGAGCCTATATCCCATCCACTCACTCAATCACTCACTCAGCTGCTCAGTCAATGGCTAGCGCTGGCATTGTATTGCATTGCCATTGGCAAAGACAAATCACACAGTATAAAACACATTGCAGTTTTTGCACAACCATTGATTTACATTCTCAATCCAGAATACAGTACTGCTGATACTGAACTAAGAACGTAATCTTCCATGTTATTATCATAAACAATTGCACTTACCAGATAAACAGGAATAGACGCAATATCTGTGTCACTTTGTCGAGCGTGAGTGGACCGTGTGGATGAGTCGAATGAATGAACCGAAGTGTGGCTTGCATGCGGTATAGACTACCTATATATATATCCACGCTGCGCCCGCTGCGAGTCGGGCGCAAGAGCGGCAAGCAAAGGTCTAAAACCGCTGAGTTAGCATGCAGCATGCATGCTACGGTGTCGTGAAAGGGGATTTTGGTTCGGTAAAAAAGAAAATGGGACTAAAAATGATTTTTGCTTTTTCTTCAATTATAGTGTCATTGATTATTGAGTTAATCTGTTAGTCTGTAAATACTGTAATAGCTCAGTCGGTAGAGCAGTTGTCTCGTGACCCGGTGACCCGGGTTCGAAACCAAGTCGATGCGCTAGTGCCCTTCAATTGGGTAAGGCATTAATCCTCATTACCAGGTCTCTCGGAGAGGACCTAAAGCCGTTGTGATATGATATCATTTATATTTACATGTATGTTCATTAACTGACCTACATCATATGCCCATGATTATTGCTACCAAAGATTGCAATGCGGCTTCACATCTAATAAATAGAACAGGTTGTTTTTAGTTGAGTTCTATAAAATCCAGCCTCATGAAGACTCTTATTGTACTATCATAATTCGTGTACAACACTTTACAGCCGTCGGCCGTCTGGTTGCTTACTACAAGCATTTATGCTTTCTTAGCAGTCAGGTATAAAATAACCACCACCATCATATACATTATATCATAAATGGATATATCTCCTATTTGGAGCCATTGTGCAAAAAGATGGCAGTGCTTGAGTCTTGACGGATAATATTTTAGAAAATTAATAATACTAATCTACCGGGGGAGGGGGGGGGGGGATGGGGGATAATCAGATTTGGTGGATGGGAGGTGTGCCGCTGAAGCGTCGAAACCGGGTTTTTTTCTTGAAGTAAAGCCCATTTTCAAAATTTTGAAAAACCAGACCCATGTCCACTGGGATATTTTCTTTTTAAATGGGTTTGTTAAAACTGGGGCCCCTGTTTATAGGGATTTTGTGTGAAAAGCGACCCATTAAGCGGTACATTGTGAGTACCCCCATGACCCCCACCCCATCCCCCCCCCCCCCCAATAATCTGTCTTCTCACACAAAAAGTGCTTTATTTTACTCGGAAAAATTAGAATGAAATCCATTCAGACTTTTTCTCGTGTCAGACGACAAACAGGTTTAATTTGATATTATACAATGATTAAAAGAAAAGATCTTGATTTCTGTAATTCTTATAACGGGGGCTGTGTGTCCGGACGCTTAGCAAAACTAAAGCAATCCCTTTTGCTTTTGGATTTCACGAAATGTATTGAAATAGCACTAGTGTCAAAATAAAGATTCATTCTCTATGGTATTGATTAACATAGGTCTTCTTTTTTTTTTTGGAGTCCAAAAAAAATCGCAACGACTCAGCCATCCGAAAAGGGGGGGGGGGGGGGGGGGGGGGGGGGGGTAAGAGGACACTTTTTTTTTTTTGGTCTCGAAATTTGAAAAATTGACATTTTTTCCGTTGGGGGGGGGGGGGGTAAGGTCACCTTTTTTAGGTCAGCCATTGGCATAATTTTTTTTAATTTTATTATTTTAATAAAAAACAAAAAATAAACAAATAAAAAGGGGGAGGGGTTCACAAAAAACATACACTTAAATAAAAAAACTCAAGGGAGGGGGGGGGGGTTAACCCCAACCCCCCCCCCCCCCCCGCCCCCCTGCGTACGCGCCTGCATTCAGAGATTCAAATGAAAATGGTACCTAAATGTACTGGGAGGATAACTCTATCAAGACCATAGAGATATATACTACTAACACGATCAAGACTGGACATATCATGAAACTCATGATTAAATATTCATACTTCAAACAATACAACTTTTAAGAAGTGGGACATTTTTTCTGCCTCACTCTGTATAGGCCAATAGCCATTGATCAGTTTTAGTAGTTTTAGTAGGCTACCGGTACTAATGAATTACACTGATATAAACACCTAAAATACACCATTCAGCTCACATAAACAAAATCTAAGAGAATCCCGTGCGGGGTCCCGTGTGTCAAAATTGTCGTGTATGAGACTATAATAGGGAGAAGAAGCGACAGTTACCCCCTCCCCCCCCCCCCCCCTCCCCTCGGGGTTCACATATAACCAGGGAGGTATAACCTTGCAGTGATCGAGTGCAGTGAGGTACGTGGTCGGTCAGTCTTGCTAGCACTAGAAACCAAAATAACTCCCCCCCCCCCCCCCCCCCCCCTCTCCTCCAATTAATTAAACAGTACGGTCGAATCTCTTCGAGTTCCGCCGTTGCATGCATGCTTTTCTCTGATGTGACTCTTGTATAGTAGTTCCACATCTTATTACGATAGCGATACACCGGGGGTACGTAACCCTATGCATCCGTATGGTTGAGACGTGATTGGCAATTCCATTCAAGCCACATATAACGTATACCGCAAAGGTGTATAATTTTAACTTCGCGCGCTGCGCTTATTAACTACATAGGTGCCTCAACCCCCTTGAATCCTCAATTTCCTGAAAAAAGAAGAAGATTTGTTGCGGGATTTGATGATGCGATACTACTATTTTACTAGTAATACTTTTATTACTAATCGCACCATATTAGAAAGAACGATTTTTACAAGTTAATGGACAAGTGCAATGACACATAACGGCATTTAATACCAACAATTCGCTGAATCTTTCTTGCTCTTCGACTTCGTGTCTGATTGATCAATTTTACGTGATTTGTTCTTTTCGTGCTGTGGTCTGCGGGTCTCTGTCGAGTCGGGCTGAGCTGAGCTGAGTGCTCCTAGATCCTGTGATGCGCTGAGGTTGTGCTGGCTTGAATGAGCTGAGTGTCTCGAGTCGAGGGCACTGTTGTGGACACTGGCGATGTAACAGTGAGCAAGACATGGTGTATTTTCCTTAGTAATATCTTTTTGTAGTGAGTAAGACATCGTTCTTTTACTTATGATAGATCTAATATAGAATCTATGGCTTAAAAAACAAATGTTTCCTCGGCCCTCTTCTCTGCATTGGCATTGCCATCTTCTCAATCTCCTTTCCTTTCAACTCAAATCTCAAGAAAGTCAAGTTTCATTCCCGGCCCCCCCCCCCCCCCACTCAGTGTTATTTAGGGTACGCATATGCTCGTACCCTCTTTTTGAAAGCACCCCCTATCTGAGGACTGCCAACATTTCCGAACCCCCCTTTCGCGGGCTTTTCGCGGGCTTTTCGCGGGCTTTTCCTGCCTTGGAGACCCCCCTAAATCAGGAAAAATGCTCATGTACCCCCCTAAATTCGGAATAATTTCTCAGGAGTCCAAAGAGATGAGAGAAAAAAAAGAAAAACACCCCTTTTTTAAAGAAATCTCCGGGTGAAAAGTCAAATACACCCCTTTTTTTACAATTCTCGGGCCGGACTTTGTCGCACGAAAAGTACCCCTTTACCGGACATTTTGGCAACACGCATGCGGTCATTCCGACCTCTGAGTGGGGGGGGGGGCCGGGGTTTCATTTCAGTTTCATTTTTAAGAATAAGACTTCATAACCATCCTCTTCTCTCCTTTCGTTTTAGCTTCAGTCAGAGTGGTACCCTCTGTCTGACTTTCATTTTACAATCTTAATTTCTCCCTGACTATGTGAATCTTCAAATTTACTGAAAAGTCTGATTAGGATTTCAGTAAATGAACTTGTTTTTAAAGTAAGTTGTCAGACATGTGAAATGAGTCATTCCATGGGGTTGGGGCACCATTTACAAAACGATGCATGAAGTCTTTTGTGTACGGCTGATTGTCAACAAAACGGAGTTGAATCTTTTGTTAATTCCATTTGTAGCTACGGCAGGCAGCCAGTGAAAAACGAATTTGTGTAATAAAATTATGGAAATGCAAGCACTACTTTAAACGAACAGAACTTGGTTATTCCTAGCTCCTTTTTCCCGACTGAGGTGTCATATGAAAGGGCCGAAACTCAATTTTCTAGAAATAAGATTTTCTCTTTGAAATTCAGATAACGTCCGCCAAATGACTTTTTGGTTTCCTCTCTTCAAATTCATTTTAATCAGTCATGCGTGAAATATGCATTATATGATGAGTTGCATCAAATGAACGAGGAGGATCTAAGCTTTACAAATAAACCTAGTCTAGAGTCTATGTGTCATATATCAATTATAATTGTGATTAAGTTATGATAAAACATTGATAATTCTGTTTTGTTTTTTCTGGGACACATTGTATATAAATTGCATACAAATCTTCAACACAACAGATGATTTCATCTTCTAATGTTCTAAGTGTAGTACAGATCTCATAGTCATACCAACGTTACATGGACATCGTCAGTTTTTGCCCATACCTTATGGAATGACCCAGAAGTAGACTTTTTAAACATCAGAGAGGTAGACTACTCTATGATTTCACTCTCAAATTTGTGTTCCTTCCAGATTTTTCATCACATATGATATAAGAGAGCAACTGCATGATGGCTGCTTTGTACTTTGTGTTGATGATGTGGCTGCCAATTTGCAGAGCTAGTACAGAAGAAATGTACACAATACCAGACCAATTTACTCTTGGCCCCATTGAAGGTAAAGTAGGTAGATTTAGTTCTATAGGTAGTACAGCACTCAGCATTTAAATTTTAAGCAGTACATGTAAAGAAAACCAAAATATAGATCTACCAAACACAAACAGTCTTCCGTTGCGTTGAATAAATTCTGAAGAATCGCCAATACGGTATGCAAAATTAGTTTGTCTGTGTAATATGTTACAGAATTTAAAATTCTCTCTAATTTGGCAAATGTGTCCAACTTTTGAATACTTAAAGTTTGAAAATACATGCATGTTTGCAAATGGTCATGAAAAATCATGCATTTTCTCATGTAAAATAATTAATACAGTTGATAGATATTGGTTAAAAAAATTCAGAGAAGTAAACTAATAAAATAACCTCTTGCCAATCAATCATACACCAATCTTCCAAATCACTGCCCAACTCACAAGTCCTCTCTCCTACTATAAAATCTCTCCTACCTCATGCCCACAGAGCTCTAAAAATAACACGTCTGACCCAGTATAAGTCCTGTCCAGCTCTGTCTC